GAGAGAGAGAGAGAGAGAGAGATCTTCGGATCCCAAGGGAAACAGAGACGATTCTTCCAGGGCGGGCTCGGAGAGCCCACATCCGACTTGTAGGCGGCCCAGGACAGAGTCGAGAGTTGGTGCTCCAGGGTCTCGCCCCGCCCCGCTCCGCCCAGCGAGGACCCAGTCCTCGGCACCCCATAGGCAGATTGACCCTCCCCGCCTCCCCGCCCGCTAGGCGCTCGCCCAGCTTCCCTTCACTTTCCAAAGTTTACTCCGGGCGGGGACGCCGGGTGGAAGGAGCCATGGCTGTCTACCTCGGGATGCTGCACTTTGGGAGGCTGTGCACTGCGAGCCTGCGGGTGCATGGACCCCGGGCGGTCTTCTCTCGAGGTTGGCAGGAAAAGAAGTTGCAGTATGTCCGCCCGCTCAGGTACCCGGAGGGGAAGAGAGGGGCCTGGGCAGCTCCGAGGAAACCGGAATTCTGCAGAGTTTGCCAAGGGGACGGATCCCACTTCGTGGGGGGCCCGCGGCTGGATGTCCTCACTGGGAAGAAGATGCGCCCCTCACCCGCACCACACACACGCTTTTTACCCTACCACCCAGGCCACGGGGGAAGGGGCTGGCTGGGGTCTGGAGCTCCTGCCGCCGTAATCCTGCCTTGAGTCCAAATTCTAGTTCCGGATTCTATTTTCTTCCCGTATGGGCACCCAGGGCTTTTTAGCTGTGACCCTGAGGGATCGGGGCAAGTGCTCGCAGGACACTGTTCTCTCACCTATATCATCTTTAGGGATAAACTTGGGGATTGCTTAGGGGTCCCCAGGTCACTGAGCATAGCAGTCCCTTTTCTCACATCAGCTGCTGACAACGAGCCCCCTGTTTTCATTCATTGCCGCCTACCCCTGGGCCAGTTTTCGTCTCTCAGTGCCCGGGCTAGGGAAGGGGGCTGGCAGGGATAAAGCTGGTGTGGCTTTGGGGACTCCAGGAGATTGTAATGGGAAAGGTCAAGGTTGGGAGGGCTGGCTATGCAATGAAGTGAGGGGTGGTATCCCACCTCTCCTTCCCCCTCCTCTTCCTCTTCCTCCTCCTCTTCCCCCTCCTCCTCTTCCTCCTCTTCCTTCTCCTCCTCTTCCTCCTTCTCCTCTTTCTTCTGGGGTGGGGGTGAAACAGGTCTTCCTGTAGCCCCATCTGGCCTGGAAATTGCTATGTAGATCAGGCTGGCCTCGAACTGAGAGATTGGCTTGCCTCTGCCTCCCAAGTGCTGGGATTAAAGGTGAGCTGCCACCACACAGGGTCAGTGGTGTCAGTGGCAGTATCTTAAGCATCCTGTAGGGGGAAGGGCTGTGTACAACTGAGCCCGCCCTGCCACCCCTCCAGGAAGCCTGTGATCAGGACACTGTTGTCCATACTACATGACCTGTGTGCTTGGACATGAAAAAGTAGAGACACAGCCTAAACAGGAAATATTTCTGAGAACTAGATTTTTTTGAAAAAAGAAGTTGGGGAGCTGGAGAGATGGCTCAGCAGTTAAGAACACTGGTTGTTCTTACAGAAGACCTGGGTTCAAATCCTAGCACCCACATGGCAGCTAACGACTGTCTGTAACTCCAGTCCCAAGGGATCCGACAGCCTCTTCTGTCCTCTGCAGGCATTGTACAACACGGGTGCACTTACCTACATGCAGGCAATACACACATACACATAAAATAAAAATAATAATTTTTTTTTTAAAAAGTGGACTGAGAAGTTGTTAGAGGATTCCTTTTTGGTCAGAATACCCAGGTTATAACTTTCTTGAACTTTTTTTTGGTTCCTGAAAGCTAGAAAGCAGACAGTAGTGTGTGTGTGTGTGTGTGTGTGTGTGTGTGTGTGTGTGTAGGTGCGTGTTTCTGGGAATGAAACTCGGCCTCATGCATGCTGGTTAGGCGCTCTACCACTGCGTTACATGTCTAGCCCCAATGAAGTACTTTACCATTCCTCTGCCCCATTTCCTGAGGAGACCCAGGGGATTAAGGCTGGGCAGTGGATGGGACCCACTGAAGGGATCTGTGTGCTCTTTCTGCAGTTTTACCTTCTCCTCTCCTAGTGCCTCCCTAGGTCAATTCTACCCTCCCCCATTCCTAGCTGCCTTGTCTCACCTTTGAACTCCTGAATGCCCCCTCAGGCTATGAGGGCTCTAAAGAAAGTCACTCCCTGAAGCACACTTATTTTATGATGCTAAATCAGACCTAACTTGTTACATAACAACGTTCCTGATTTGTGTGTAGGTGCTGTATGTGTTCATGGGGTGTGTGTGCACATGTGTGTACAGGTGCGCATGTGTGTGCATGCAGATATGTGTGAGTACATGTAGAGGCCAACTTGAAGCCATCAATCTTCCTGTCTCAGCCTCCCTAGTCCTGGGATTACAGACATGAGTTATAGTCGGGGGCCTCAGGTTGCTGGTTTTGTGGAACGGGAAGGAAGAAGAATTTGAGGCCAGTTTGTTTTGAGTGACAGCCTATGGTTGAATGATCAGGAGGCATGTTACCTAATTTCTGAGTCTGGCTAGTTTGTTACTAATGAGGTAGTACTTGCTGGCTGGCTGGGTGGAGGGACTGAAGTTTGCAGTTGCTCTCAGTCTTTGAGGTGTGGCCTGCTGATTCCTGGATAGCTAAGATTTAGACCTGATGTGGACCTTAGCAATCCCTTTAAAGGGAAAGTGTCTTGAACCAGCCCCCACCTCTGACTCCTGGGGCTCTGTACGAGGATCTCAAGGGGAAGCCTGCAGCATGGGTGCCTGAGCCCTAAGTATTTCAGGCTTTAGAAATGTCTCCTGTCTTTTTTCTTTTTCTTTTTTTTGGCAGTACTGGAACTCAAACCCAGAACCTTGTGCATGCTATGCAAATGATGTCCTTAGTTCCCCTGTTTTGGGGGAAGAGTGTTTGACCCAAATAACAACTTCCTATGTACTTTCTTTACCCACAAGTACATACATATATAGCGTTCCATTCAAGATGCTGAAAGTGAACTCCCCACCAATGGAGACTGTGTTCAGAATCTTTATTGTGGTTCTTACTCCTCAGGAAGTCTTTGTAGTTTGCGATGTTCATAGGCTGTGGATTCCTTCAGGGAGGTAATATTGGTGGTGATCATAGACTTTATGATATAATTACATAGGACTTTATGGTAAATTATGTAGATCTTCAGTGTATTGCTCAGCAAATTTTAATGGTCTTATGTATTTGTTTTCTATTGCTATAACTGAACACCACAGAACAGAGCAATTTATAAGCCTCTCTTCAGAGGCTCATTTAGCTCAAAGTTCTGGTGGCAGGGGAGACCAAGAACATGGTGTCAGCATCTGCTTGGCATTGGTGAAGGCCATCCTGCTGGGTCATGACATGCCCAGAGTATCACATGGTGAGACCCAGCAAACATGCCAGGGAGAACTTGTTCAAAGCAAAGCTACTCCCTCTATAACCCATTAATCCACAAAGTCATGAATGGAGTATTACATTCACAAGTGCACAGCCCTCATGATCCAAAGGTCATACTCCCAAGAATCATGAATGTATGAATTTTGAGAATCAGTTCCTACATGCATGAAATTTTGAGGTTACATTCAAACCATAGCACGTCTAAATTCATTACTCAACCTCTCAAGTTACAGAATTTTTCCCCTCTCTCCATCTCTCCTCCCTTTTTTCTTTTCCTTTTCTATTTCTCTCTCTTTTCTCCCTTTCCCCTTCCCTCCTCCCTCCTTCCCTCCCTCTTTCTTTCTTTCTTTCTTTCTTTCTTTCTTTCTTTTTCTTTCTTTCTTTCTTTCTTTTTACTTTTTGAGACAAGTTCTGTGTAGCCCAAGTAGGCCCCAAATGCACAGTAATCCTCCTGTCTCAGCCTCTCCTTGCTGGGATTATAGTCATAAGCCACCACACCCAGCTCTACCTTTTATTTCTTCTTTGCCTTTTGTAGTAGTTACTTACTTGAATACCCAACAAAAACAATTTGAGGATTTATTTTGGCTCCTGGTTTGAGGGTAAAGTTCATCATGTCAGGGAAGGCATTGTTGGTGACAAGAGCAGTGGGAGGCAGCTGGTCACAACGAGTCCATGGCTAGGGAGAGAAATGAACGCTGGCACTCAGCTTGCCTTTTCCTTTGTCCCCTTTTATTCTGTCTGGCACCCCAGCTCTTGGGATCATGCCACCCACATTTGGGTGACTCTTCCTTTCTCAGTTAAACCACTCTGGAGACACACTAGAGTTGTATTTCTTAGGTGATTTTAAATCCAGTCAAATGTGCAATGAAGATTAGCCATCACACTTTTTTGTGTGTGTACTGGGTTTCAAACCTGGAGCAAGCACTCGACCATTGAGCTACAACACCCCCAGATGTAAGGTTTTTGTTGTTGTTTGTTTTTATTTACATGTGATGTGAGTCTTAGTAAAAGTTCAATGGAGATCAGAGGAAAACTTTCGGGAGTCGGTTCTTTCCTTCTATCACGTGGGTCCTGGGGATTCAACTCAGGTCTTCAGGTTTGGCCTTGTGCATTTTAAGCTGCTGAGCTATTTCACTGGCCCCATTACTGAAGACTATTTTTAGGAAGACCGTGTTATTTTTGTTTGTTTATTGGAAAAGGGTCTTACTTTGAAGCTCAGGCTGGCCTTGATCTCAAAAGAATCCTTCTGCCTCAGTCTCCCAAGTGCTGGAATTAGAGTCATCACTGCATCTGGCTTCTTCATTTTTTTAAAAAAATGTTTTTACGTTTTATTGATTAATTATTTTTTGTGTGTGTTGCACATGTATGTGTGCAAGTGTCCATGGAGGCCAGAGACATCAGATTCCCTGGAGCTAGAATTACAGATGGTTATGAGCCCCCTAATATGGGTGCTCAAAACTGAACTCTGGTCTTCTACAAGAGCAGCAAGCACTTTTAACCACTGAGCCATCTCTCTAGCTCCTCTTCCCCATTTTTTTTTTTTTTTTTAGACAAGGTCTCTCTCTGTAGCCAAGCTGGCCTGGAACTATGTAAACTAAGCTATCCTAAAATTCATGGCAATTATCCTGCCTCACCCACCCACGTGCTAGGATTGGAACTGTACACCACCACAGTTGCTCATTAAGGACCTTTTTTACTTTAATTTTTAATTTTAATTTTTTTGTTTTTTTGAGAAAGGATCTTCCTGTAGCCACAGCTTGCCTGGAACTCACTATATAGACCAGGCTGGCTTCAATCTCACAGAGATCCACCTGCCTCTGCCTCCTGAGTGCTGGGATTAAAGGCATGTGCCACCTTGACTAGTTTGAGGACTTTTTAAAGCATTATATTATTTTTGTGCTTTTAGTGACCACTGTTAAGTAGGCCATGGATTAAGACTACCAGCAATGTTCTTATTTTGGATTTTATTTGCCACAACCACATTTTGGTTTTCTGGAATAATAGCTGCCATTGT